CGACTGAGCCACCCAGGCGCCCCTATACTAGCATATTAAGTAAAACAGTTTATCATTGTTATAAATAGATCCAGATTATTTAAATAACTTATGATTTGATATCCACTATCATCATTTAAAAGCTTGACTTTTATAGTCATAAATTATTGCATTTTCTCATTGAATATATATTTTTAATCATACTTAATTTTATATCCTAATGGAATAGTATTTTTAAAAATCTTTTATTATGAACAATTTAAAACCAACATAAAAGAAGAAATAATATTGTAACTAACCCTCATTGCACAATATCTAGCTTCAATAATTACTAGGATATGGGCAAACATGTTTCATATATACATCCATTCAGTTTTTTCTAATTGTATTAATTTTAAAGTGAACCCAAGACATCATGTTATTTTATATATAATTATACATGTATTTATTTCTAAAAAAAATAAGGACTCCTTTTTAAATACACCATAGTCCATTTCAAAGCATTAAAAATAACAATTATTCTTTAATATAATCAAATATCAGGTCATTGTTAAAATTTTCTGGCTTGTCTCATAAATGTGTGTATACATTTTAAGTTTGTTGAAATAGGATCCAAATAAAATCCACACATTAAAAAAAAAGAATCAACAAAATGAAAAGAAAACCTATGGAATGGGAAAAATATTGTAAACTGTATATCTGATAATGAAATTAATAAAGAACTCATACAACTCAATAGCACAAAAATCAAATAATCCAATTAAGAAATGGGCAAAAGAATATTGACCACTCTTGCATCCCAGGACTAAATTCCATGTGATCATGGTGTTTGACTTTTTAAAAAATATTTTATTTATCTAAGAGAGAGAGAGAAAGCACACATGGGTGGAGGGGCAGAGGAAGAAATAATCTCCCCACTGAGCAGGGAGCCTGACACAGGGCTTGATCCCAGGACTCTGGGATCATGACCTGATCTTAAGGCAGATGCTTAATGGACTGAGCCACCCAGGAGCCCTGGTGTATGACTTTTTAAATATATTTTTGGATTCGGTTTGCTAATATTTTGTTGAGGATTTTGTATCTATATTCATGAGAGATTTTGGCCTGTAGTTTCTTTATCTGTTTTTGGTATCAGGGTGATACTGGCCTCATGGAATGACTTTGGAAGTTTTCCTTCCTTTTGTAGTTTTTGTAATACTTTGAGAAGAATGTGTATTAACTCTTCTTTAAATGTTTGGTAGAATTCTCCTGTGAAGCTGTCTGGTCCTGGACTTCTGTTTTGGGGGATATTTTGATTACTGATTCAATTTCATTATTAGTAATTGTTCTGTTTAAATTTTCTATTTCTTCCTGCTTTAGTTTTTGTAGTTTATATGTTTCTAGGAGTTTTTCCATTTCTCCTAAGTTGTCCAATTTGTTGGCATACAGGTTTTCATAATATTCTGTTACATTTGCTTGTATTTCTGTGGTGTTGGTTATTTCTCCTCTTTTATTAGTAAATTTGTTTATTTCAGCCCTCTCTCTTTTTCTAATGACTCTTGCTAGAGGTTTATCAATTTTGATCTTTTCAAAGAGCCAGCTCCTTGTTTCATTTATCTGTTCAATTGTGATAGGTGTGATACATCATATTAATAAGAGAAAGGATAAAAACCATATGATCATTTCAAAAGATGCAGAAAATGCATTTGACAAAGTACATCCATTCATGATAAAAACCCTCTGCAAAGTAGGTCTAGAGGGAACATATCTCGACATAATAAAGGCCTTATGTGAAAAAACCACAGCCTACATCATACTCAGAGGTGAAAAACTGAGAGCTTTTACCCTAAGGTCAGAAACAAGACAAAGGTGATTACTCTCATTGCTTTTATTCAACATAGTACATGAATTTCTAGCCACAGCAATTAGACAACATAAAGAAATAAGAGGCATCCAAACTGGTAAGGAAGAAGTAAAACTCTCACTATACGCAGATGACATGTTACTATATACTAGAAAACCCTAAAGACTCCATGAAAAAGCTACTAGAACTGATCAGTGAATTTAGTAAAATTGCAGGATACAAAATCAATGTGCAGAAATCTGTTGCATTCCTATTCATTAATAATGAAGTAGCAGAAAGAGAAATTAAGAATTCCATTTACAATTGAACTAAAAACAATAAAATATCTAGAAATAAATTTAACCAAAGGCATGAAAAACCCATACTCTGAAAACTACAAAACACTGATGAAGGAA